CCTGCAGTTGGGTTTGCACCAATTCAGGTTGAATAAGGGCACTACGCTGATGTAAACATATCAATAAATATGCTAGTGGTGAAGATAGTCATAACATAAAAACACAATTCACAGCAAGTTCTCCAGTTGCTCTGCAAGGATGTCTTCACAGCAAAATGATAGGTGTGCATGCCAGCAGATCAAATGCTGGCACAGCCTTTATATTCAATCCTCTTATTTTCTCCAACTAGGCTATTCACTTTTTATTTATTATTAAAGTACCATGTGAACCTTCCTATACATATTATGTTTAATATAGAGATTGGGGAGTGTTCTTGGTGAAGGTGATCACGTATGATCTAGATGAGATTCTTGCATTGCAGCGGGTTGGGCTAGATGACCCTCGGGATCCCTTCTAACGCTAAGATTCTATGATTGTGTGACATCACAGGCTCATCTGCTTGGAATTTGCAGAGCCTCTCCCCCATCCACCCCTGAGCTGGACCCTAAGGAGGACTGAGTATAAATTAAGTGAATGCAGTGATGTAGTTTTCAGGGAAGCCTCACTGTTATGAGTATCTTCACTCTCAGATTCTGATTCTCTCAGGTATCTGCTGCAGCTCCTACAGTATTTGACTTGATTTTGGGGCTCCGATTCCATTTCTTAAAATGAATCCCAGGGTTATGTCTTTTTTTAAAAAAAAAAAACACACCCAAGAAACCTTAGATATAAATATCACTTATACAGCTTTTTGGGTCTCTGTGTGCACAAATTTCCAAAAAAAATAATAATCAAAGCATTTGACACTTTGGAATTTTTACTTATTTCTGATAATGACATTCTTAAGTGTATGGCCAGTATGAGTGAAAGAAAACAAAAACCAAGTTTGTGTAATGTGCACTATAAAATGCTTCTTTCTTTTTTTAAAAAAAGCAATGTTGACTGAACATGGTTGTGTGGCTTTAAGTACATTTGTGTTAAAAGCAAAATAAAAGTGTCTCAATTCAATCTTGAAAATAATCTCTCTTTGGAATCTGCTTTTTAGTATGTTGTATTTATTAGCATTGCTGGATAGCAGGCTTTTTCATACAGGGCTGACTATTTATGTATTTATTTAAAGGTTACTAGGGCTTGGGTTTGGGGAGTCGGGTTTAAGCTGGAGAGCTGACAGAATGGATGCAAGCCATAATTCTCCACTGTTGGAATGATGATAAAGCCCAGTCAGTTTGAAGGGAATAAAAAGGGGGGGGCAGGCAGAGGTGGAGGTGGTTGAATTGTGGCAGGATAACAACCTCAGGGGTTGTAAGCACATATGTGCTGAATGGAAGAAGTGGAGGTGAGTAAGAGGCATTAAAGCTGACCCGGAAGCTGTACGCCGGCTCCCTTGGCCAATAAAGTCAGATGAGCGCTGCAACCCCAGAGTCGGTCATGACTGGACCTAATGGTCAGGGGTCCCTTTACCTTTACCTTTTATGCCAGCTGAGGCTTCCTGTTTCTTTCAAGACAGGATCTCACCACATCTAGACTAAATTATTGCAAGGCACTTCCCTGTCTCTGAAGACTTGTTTTCAAAACTTAATTTCGTCCAGGACACAGTGGCAAAGCTGTTAAGTAGTATTGGCAACAGGGCTTGTATCTTGCCAGTACTTAAAAGAGCTTCGCTGACCTCCATTTTATGTGTCCAGGCACAATTCGCTGTGGCGACTTTGACCAATGAAGCCCTAAATAGCTTGAGATTGGGGTATCTGTTCCCATTTGAACCTGCCTCACTATTAAAGCTCCCCACCCTTGAAGGGAGGTGGCTGGCAGTAAGGGACGGTGCCATTTCACTTGTGTTACCTTGTCTGTGGCATTTCACCCCTCACCTCACAAAAAATGTCTATTGACTAAAATGCTCTTTGGTGGTGTTGAAATGCCAACTAAAAATGCCTATTTATGCAGGCTTTAAATGGGATATAAGAGTAATCTGATATTTTTATTTAGTGATTTAGCACAATTATATACCACTTGATTGTCACAAAACCTCTAAGCAGTTTACAAGAAATGCTAAATTTGTTTTTTAAAAACATTTGAAAATAAATAAAATTAACAGTGAAAGCGTTTGAAACAGGTCAACACCTCAGTTTTTGAATAATAATCATAATCATAATAATATTTTTTATTTATACCCCGCCCATCTGACTGGGTTTCCTCAGCCACTCTGGGCGGCTTACAGCACATAAAGATTGGGGAAAAATTAGACATTAAAAACTTCCCTAAACAGGGTTGCCTTCAGATGACTTCTAAAAGTCACAATAGTTGTTTGTTTCCTTGACATCTGATGGGAGGGTGTTCCACAGGACGAGCGCCACTACTGAGAAGGCCTGCCTAAACAAAAAATGTTTATTGCATTTAACCAAAGTAATGTATGCTGCCTAATTGTGGTAAAACCCTAAGCGGTATGCAAGAAATATTACAATTATCGATAAAAAAGTTAAAACAATTTACAACATTAAAAAAAAAGATGTGTACATTTTGCTCCTAAATTGCAGTATGCCACAGCACCCTCCTCCCTGTCGCCAATTTACAAATGTATGTTTCAGGGGTTGGGGTGCAGAATTTAGGAGGCCAATTTTAGCTTGGCACTAATTAGAAGAAAATTTATAGTGACTTTTGTGTACTTCATGTTGTCAAGAGATAGTGCTAAATGGTGTCTCCCATAACCAGGACATTGACCCCTGAGGCAGGAAGTGCTGACAAGAAAAACGTGCTTCCTTTTGGGTAATCGTGTTTCTTCATAGTCGGAATTTTGTTTTATGAGGCTCAAACGACCACGCAAAGGAAATGGGAGGCGTTGAATGGGATATTCTGGGGAGATATAAGGAAACGGAACATGAGAGGTAGGCATAGTGAGCAGGAATGGCGCAAATGTGGAAACAGCGATAATGTAGAGAGCAGATTAAACAAAACAAAAAGTTGTAAAGGGAAGCAAAACAATACAACCCTTAAGTCACTTACTGTGCAGATTCCTGTAAAACGAGAGGTTTCTTAGCAGTGTTAGCAGCAGCTTATTGCGGCTGCTTTAGTGCTCGTTCGGGAAGTGGGGATTATGAAACAAATCCTATAATCTTGGTCACCTTCGCCATATGAAATCACAAGGGCTGGAGGGGCTTTGTCAGCTACCTAGCCCAGAGGTGGGGAATCTTTGGCTCTCCAGATGTTGCTGAATTACAACCCCATCAGCCCCAGCCAGCATGGCCAAGGGCCAGGGATGATGCCAGCTGTCAGCAACATCTGGAGGGACACAGGAGCCCCATACCTGATCTAGTCCGACTGCCAGCTTAGTAACAAAGATTTCCCAATTCTTGCTTCAGTGGTTCCAGGTGCATGCAGGCACCTGTCTGTGTTCTTCTCCCAGGTGTGCATGGGGGGGGGGAGGAAGGAAGCACCACAGCATGTTTAGCAGCTGCTCTGTGCCAGCCCTAGGGCCCAGTCCATTGCTGGCTTAAATAAAGGTAAGTTTGGGGATTGTACTCGGCCAGTGGTCTTTGTATAGGAAACATTCACAGCTGCATATTATGGCATCACTAAGAGCTGGGAGCTGGGAGCAGCCTGCGACAGACTGCAGCCACCAGGCGATGAGGCTTTTCATAATAGGAAGATAAAAAAAGAAAACCACAACCACAGAGCGACTTGCTAACTGCTATATATCCTATATCAACCTGCTCTTGAAGGCCCAGCCACAGGGCATGTTAAAAGGAAGGGCAAAAATTACATGGAGGAAAATCTCAAGCATTAGGAGATAGACTGTGGAACAGGCTGCCTTGGGAGGTGCTGGGATTTCTCTCCCTGAAAGTATTTGGACAGAGGCTGGATGACTGCCTATCAGGGATGCTGTAGGTGCAGCCTTCATCAAGCAAGGGTAGCTTGGATGACATCTGAAGTCCTTTCCAACTCTGTGATCATGTGTAAAGTCAGCAAGGTCAGCTGAGAAGGGATTACAGAAAAGAACAGAGGTATGCTTCAGTGGGCCATATTAGCACAGTTTCTGGCACTGGGGTGGGGGTGGGGGAACGGAGAAGTTACAGGGTAAAGGCAAGACAAGAATTCCTTGAATGGGGAACAAAAGAGAGCATTTTAAAGCTTTGTTCTCCTCACCGAATGTGCTTTTATGTCACCAGACCATACTTTGTGGAGAAAGTCGATCGGAAAGAGCCAGTTCCTTGAATACCTGATGAGGTTAATAGGGAGGTAAATAAAACTGGATTCCAGGCATGATGAACCCTTCTCAAATCAAGGGCCACATTCTCTGGGGGGCGGGGTAAGGGGGGGACATGCTTGTGGCAGGCAGGGCTAGAGGCTAATGTGGGCAGAGCAGCACATTCCATTTTATTTGTACAGTAGGCTAATTTCTACCCACTCAACCATCCCACACTCTTCATCCGAGCATGCAAGAAGCACTGTCAGTGTTCAATGGCACGTTCTAGCCGAAGAATTGATGCTTTTGAATTATGGTGCTGGAGGGAGACTCTTGAGAGTCCCATGGACTGCAAGAAGTTCAAACCTATCCATTCTTAAGGAAATCAGCCCTGAGTGCTCATTGGAAGGACAGATTGTGAAGCTGAGGCTCCAATACTTTGGCCACCTCATGAGAAGACTCCCTGGAAAAGACCCTGATGTTGGGAAAGATCAACAAGGAGAAGGGGACGACAGAGGACGAGATGGTTGGACAGTGTTCTCGAAGCTACAAACATGAGATTGACCAAACTGTGGGAGGCCGGGCGTCCTCTGGTCCATGGGGTCACGAAGAGTCGGACACGACTAAACAACAACAAGCCAGGCAAAAACACTTGAGGAGGGTGCAGAGCAGGGTCAGTGAGGGTGTCTTGCCGGGGGAGAGTTGCAAGGGACAGAGAGGTGCCTGGAGCACTCAACTGAGTTTCGGCCTGCACTCACGGGGGTCCTCATTCACACCAGATTCATGTTTTAAGTACTGCAACTGGATCAGTGGGTCAGTGTAGATGAAATGAAACAAATGATATACACAATGAAAAAAATGCTTTATTTATCAGAGAAAGAAAATTCATCTTCATCACTGGAAAACATGTTTCAGCGGCAGTAAAAAAATAAAGATCCCAACCTGAGAAGAAGGATCGGAAGCATTTCAGTTCCTGCCTCCAGCTTTGGGATGAGGCACTCAGGATAGAAAAATCTGGTCCTCTATGGCTTGGAAGTCATTAGCATTCTATTCTCCTTCCTTCCCTGCACACTTCTCCCATTTAAAAAATTGTATGTATGTTTTATGCTGTACAGTGCTCTATATGTCTACTCAGAAGAAAGTCCCATTGAGTTTAATAGTCCTTTCTTCCAGGTGAATGTGTACAGTACAGGACTTACAGCCTTAACACAATATTGAGTAAAAAAGCATGTTTAAACTTACGGGAATAAATGCACTCCATTCCACATTAATTGCAAGCAACCAGGAGCATGGATGATAAAGGCAGATCCTAAGCATATCTGTTTAAAAGTTTCTTCCAAGTAAGTATTCTTTAAGATTGCATCCTTAATGCCACAAAAGTTTAAGTAACTATATTTCTAAAGCTTTCTTTAAAAATCTGTAAAATCAGTGCTATACGTTCTGTTCTTGAAAAAGTTCACACAAAAAACCTGCACTACCTCTAGAGATCATAAAAAAGCATTGCACTTCTTCTATAAATGAGAAATTTTATTTTATTGCACCATTCACTGCGCCCCAAGGGTTGAATATTGTGCTGCATTATTTAAGCAGCTGAAATGGATGAGAAAGCACAATACATGTTAGCCAAACCACTCCTTAATTCTGCAGCCCTTTATGGAACATTTATATTCTAACAAGAAGAAACTGTACATTGCATGTCTTACGACACATTCTTCTTCTCACTAACATACAGTTTTAGAAAAATCCAACCATTTTTACTGAAAAAGAACCACCTCATGTCTCAAGAGACATCTGTGCTCTTCTTATTCTCTATTTTCCTACTGGCAAAACAGAAAAATAATAATAATTCTTTTGGTGATAGCCAACTTCAGTCTTCCTCAAAGTAGACACAGTGAAATCAATAAACTTAAGTAAGTATACAAATTTCAGTGGGTCTACTCTGAGGATGCCTACCATGGAATATTACTCCAAAAATTAGTCCCTAATAATCTGCTATTCTTACAATCAGTGCGGGAAAATAGCAACTGAAATGGTAAATGAAAATGCCACACTTTCTGACTAATTACCTTAAGTTCTATGTACATTTAAATATTTATACATATAATAAATGAAAACAATAATGGAATACAATAATTACATAGCTATATCTTAGGAGCAGGTTCTAACATACAGTACATTAAGAAAAATATTGAGTATATTTTCTTATAGAAAATATGTGTGATGCATACAATTGCCAGCAACAGTATATATTCAAGAATAGTTTTGTTTCTTGTGTTCATGCAGAACCCAAGAAGGCACTGAAAATAAGAAATCACATTACATTAAAAAAAAATAGTGATAGTCCAGCAGAGTTAGAAGCCCTACAGACCATTTTGATGGGTAAGCATGCATAACTGTCTTTTCCTACTGACCTTTGCTTACAATTTGAGAGTTACCTTTGGAAGTTTGGAATAAATGCACCATGGCTTTTGTAGAGTGAACCTGAGAGTTAACTCAAGTAAAAGTAGATGTCTCAAGTACATCACTGCAGAATCAAAGAGGTCTGAACAGAGCCTCTTTAATACAGAGTCTGGGAATGAAAAGTCTCTGGCCTTTCTCCCCTGAAGTACTAAAAATAAGGAAAGCTTTAAGACTTTCTTCTAAGAATCCTCTGCAAAAATCGTCATACAACAAGGATCATATGAGAAGTGCTATCAAAAGACAGAGGACCTTTCAGTGGAGAGTTAATGTTGAATAATGCTGCAATCCTAACTCCACTTACCTGGGAGTAAGCCCCATTGAATTCAATAAGCCTTCAATGAGTCGACATTGTTAGAATCACAGTCTGGATCGGCAACTTTTTGGTTATTATAATAAAGAACTGAAAGGAAACCTCTATGGGGTGCAAATCCAGGCTGTTTGCATGGAGGGCCTGTGCTGCCCAGACAACAAGACCCCCCTCTTGGCCTTGCTGATGTGGCCCAAAGCAGAGCAATACATTTGGCACCAGCTTGGCTGCAGGAGTCGCCAGAAGGGGGCATACAAGACACCATCCAACTGCCTTTGGGACCACTTTGGATTTGTACAGGTCTTACTCTTTAGCCTTTTCTCCTCCCCAATTAGGGTTATTTCACATAGATATTTGTATATGTTTAGAGAGGGTTTGGGAATTTTCTCTCCTTCTGGAATTTTCTCTCCTTCTGGATCTCCTTATATCATTTGTTTTTATTGTCATTCTTTTACAGAACTGAAACTAGTGGCCACCTGAGCCCTCAAGTCTGATAAACTATAAATCCAAATAAATATCTCCCCCACATTGCTGTAAAAAACACACAAAGCCATGTCCATAGTGAGCATGAGTCTACAACTATGTGCCATCTTCACATCCAACAGAGCACTAGGGTACACATTTCCCTCTCATACATGTCTTTATAAATGTGATGTGTGCAGTCCTTAGAGTAAATCTGGAGGATGGCTGGGGATATCTCTTTAGAGTTGTGATCAGCTAAGTATCATGCTACTATTATCTATCAACACTGTTAAATGACTGATCATAAGCTGGGATTGCACTGAGAAGTGTATGCTACGGACTGCATTTTAAGATACTGCTCTCAAAGCAGTAGAGTTTACGCCAACACTTCTGTAAGGACTCAGAAAGAAGTACAGAAAATTATTTCTAAAAAGAACTGGGAGGCTGAAGCCTTGTTTCTTGGAACACTTGGGTTTTGAAGGAGCATGAGGTATAGTGGCCTTTGCAGAAGAGAAAAAGCTCCAAATACGAGACATTTTACGGCTAGAATTATGTAAAGAAAAAATTACAAAAATTAGTTCATTTGTGTTAAATATTGGGATCAGAAAGTTGAGTTTTGCAAGATGAACTAGCTTTCTTTTAGTGCAGAATTTTCAGCTGTCTTTCTACTCCTGTGAAGCCCATACTTTCAAGTGTAGAAATCACCTCTTTCTCTGTTCAACATATAAGGCACAGAGAGCAAGGAATTCTGAGCTGCCATTGGAGGCATGGGATAACAGTTCCTGGAGAAACAGTTCAATTGAAAGAGAATAATGCTTTTTTGAATTGCTTCAGGTTCTTCATGTTTTCCATTTAAGAGATACTGGCTCAAGTTCATAACATTTATCTCCCAACATTTAAGATCTTGGGTCTCTGTAAAAAGAAAAAGAAAAAGAAAAGAAAAGAAAAGAAAAGAAAAGAAAAGAAGAGAAGAGAAGAGAAGAGAAAGAAAGAGAAGAGAAAAGAAAAAGAAAAAGTAGTTAAAAGGATGCAAGCAGATGTCAAAGAGAACAACAACTACCAGACTTTTAGAAGACATCTGAAGGCAGCCTTGTTTAGGGAAGCTTTTAATGTTTGATGCATTACAGTATTTTAATATTTTGTTGGAAGCCGCCCAGAGTGGCCGGGGAAGCCCAGCCAGATGGGCGGGATATAAATAATAAATTATTATTATTATTATAAGCAGAATGGTGACTATTTTGTAAAACAGACATTCCCTTTTGAAGTCACTTGACCATTTCACCCCAAGATTCCCATATGACCTTCCAGTCCTTTTTGATTCTTAGTGTTCTACAGCGCATGCTAAATACAAGGATAAGTATATAAAACTATTGACCTTCAGTTGGTGAGTCATGACCCACAACTGGGTCACGCTGTGCCCCCCAGTAGATTGCACCAGCGACACCACCACTTTCCTTAAACTAGAAATGGGCATGCCATTTTACAAAGTATAAGAGAACAGGTCTCTACAGGAAGAGCTTCCAATCTGAATTGTTGGGTCTGGACCTGCCATTAGACAGAGTAAGCAACCACCCTATGCAACAGATGTTGGGGGTAATGGCAACAGCCTCCAGCTGTTCCTCCCCAGTCATTTGTCTTTTTTGTCAACTAATGAAAATAATCAAGGGGATGGAACAACTCCCCTATGAGGAAAGTAGTTAAAGAAAAGTTATTCTCCATCTCATTACACTAGACCTCATGGACATCCAAATGTGACTGAATGTTTGACAATTCAAGATGGGATAAAATACATTACTTCTCCATGTAATGGAACTACAGAACTCGCTGTCATAGGAAGCAGTGATGGCCACCAACCCAGATGGCTTTAAAAGGAGATTAGACAAATTCATGGAGGATAAGGCTGTCAATGGCTAGTGGCCGTGATGTTCCATCACTGTCGGAGGAAGTGTGAATACTGCAGATAGACAGAGTGTTGTTGAGCTCTAGTCCTGCTTTCATGCTTCCCACAAGCATCAGTTGGCCACAGGGAGGACAGGATGATGAACTAGATGGGTCATTGGCCTGATCCAACAGGCTCTTCTTATGTTCTAATACTGGGCATGCAGACGGCCTACCCCTCTAAATTAGTCTGCTGCCTACCAGCAGGTTGGCTGGTGACTGCATGCCTTTCTTCTTTCCTGCCTGTGGCCTCGCCACACCCTTTCTGGCACACCCCAGAATGCAGAGCTCTCCAGGTGGCCCAGTAGCTCCTTACAACTCATTTGCCTTAATATAAGCTAACGTCTCCCAGATAACATGCTACCTGAAATACGGTTTCTCCTCCTGTCACTTTGATAGATGGTATCAGCAAATAGTGTTAGTATTTTGACAAGGCAATGTGACATTTGAGAGTAGGTGTACTGTCAGAGGGCCTAGAAATTCCATCTTGGTCCAAAATAACCTGAACTTGTTAACGTTTGTGTCAACAAGGGTGAGGGGTGCGGAGACACCCTTCACAGTGCCTCAAGGGAGGAGCCCAAATTTTACCAGCTCCCTGTAAATGAGAAGACTGTGTAAGCAAGGAGCCACCCATTTCCACTGGTTGGTCTTTTCCACTCATTGCTGCTCTCTCTCTCTGAATGTCTGTCTGTCTGTCTACATCCCCGCCACCCCCTTGTCCCACTTCCTCCTTCACAGTGGTACAGTGCTGGGTTCTGCTTTTCTAACAATTTGCTGACTCCATTCCTTTAGCATTCTCATACTTGATCAGCTCACTGCCTGCTCTACACTTCTGCCTTTCTGCTGCCTTTGGAAGGGAGGGCTAAATGTGGAGCACTGGTAGTAAATGAGTATTTGTGGAAGGTGTGAATTTCCATAATGATTTCTTATATTAACCAGGCACTGACTTTGACCCTTTACAAGCCGGGGGGGGGGGGTGCAGGGTGGTGCTTTGAGGCAGCTTGGTTTTCTCAAAGTGATCTAGTGAGGAAAAAGCCCAAACAGTTCTAAGTTTCCACAAATATGTGGTTCAAACTGTGGTTCAGAATTTCCTAGGCTGGGTTTCCTGTAGAGACGAGGTGAAGTGTATTGAGCAGGGGGAAACACTGTCCAGTCTAAAAACTGCATATTAAGGTTACGTCAGAATGAGTCTCCCATATATTTAATGCTTACAGATGTGGTTTAATGCAAATTCGTGACTGCATTAAAAGGTTATTTATTATAATATAATGACAGAGGACATTAATTTTACTGTGCTTTTACTCATGGGCAACAGTGAAAACATTTCTGCTTCTGAGAGAATGTCATTTATGACAAGGGGAGGGGGAAAGAGGGGCTAAAAGACCACTAGTTATTCTTCCTTTTTGCACTCTAAATCTTTATCCATATCCTGATTCAGTGGCTGCATTCAAACACAATGCTAAACCATAGCTTAACATTACACAAACAAGCTTCAGACATACCGGTAACTTGGTGGGACTGTGAAGAGTTCAGAAGCTTTTGCTTCCATTTCCAACTGCCATGGTTGGTTGTTGTGGGTGAACCCAGACAACACTAGTCAAACTTAACTACGGTTTAGTGAAAGAAGCCATCCTCAAAGCACAATTTCAAAGCCTGTCTTGTTTCCCTAAACCACAGTTTGGATAATCACAACTCTGTTGTTAGGGTTTTGCCCTAATAACAAACCAAGGGTAGCTGAAAATGGAAGGGAAAGTTTCTAGTCTCATTGTGGGAAAAGAAAGCCCAGAAGCCTCAGGTTTGTGCATGGAATGCTAAACTACAACCACAACCATGGCAGGAAAATCGTGAGGAAAATACAGATGAGGAGGAAATACGGGCTGCTCCATTCAAGGGAGGGACTCCCTCAGTGCATCAGATCTGGGGACACAGAGGCCCACATCACAGATGAAAAATAATCGGGAAACTATATTATGGGTAGGAACTCACCTTCTTTGACCTATACTTTTGAGTCCATTGGCTTCTGAACTCCAAAGGCTGTAATGAAGATATTCACAACCACTATAATAAACACCAGTCCAGTTGTCAGATTATTGAGGAAATCCAGCTTGCCATGTTTTGCAGGATTATTAAGGTCATATTTGACTGCAAGGGGGGGAAATAACAAAAGAAATATTACCAATGAGAAACAAGCACAAATATGAGAGATATGTTGTTGTTATTATTGGAATTCTGCGGGGGGGGGGGGGAGATATCAGCAAGGGAAGGTAACAAAATTTGTGTGCTAGTAGAACTCAAGAGAGATATGCGTGCCAACTATCTGAATAATAAAAAAGCAAAAAAACATTATTCTTGGATGCTTTTCAGTGGCTGTCTTGACAAAGAATTTGCAATCACAGGACAATATTTGAAGTAGTAGGTGAAATGAAATGCTTTCTTTTATTAAGGAAATGATTACTTTAATCATCCATACAAACTAGGCTTTATCAACTACAACAGCCAGGGAACCTTTCTCAGCCTGAGGGACATTATTTTTTAGTTGGCAATCTTCGGAGGCCACAAGCCAGAAGCAAAGTGGGTGGAGCAATTGCTGGAGCACTTTTCTTTGCATAAGTGGGCTACATTCCAGCCACAAAAGCCAGGTTTCTACACATACACACTCACACACACACATGCACCTATCCCTGTTCTCCATCCAGACAAGCATTGCCACAGTTCAAGGACACCTTCGAGCTCTTGAGGGTGGCTTGGAGCAGGCCTGGTGAGGAGGTGTGGCTTGACAGGACATAGCCTGAAGAGAACACCAAATGTTTTACAATTTAAAATATTCATTTAAACAACCTTAAAATATCAGCAACTTCCCTTCTCTTTCCATGGTTCATTTTGCATATCATAAATCCCTGCAAATTGTACATAAACTGAACCACTCAGTACTCCATTATTACATCCCTCAAAACTTGTCTACACTGTTGAGTTTATCTTAATGCTGCCAATGATTTCAAGTGTACACAACTCCTCCCCATATAAACATTTTCCAATCTTCTTTAAGTGTATGTTCTTCTTGTCCTCTCATTCTATATGTTAGGTCACCAAGCTGTGCATCTTTCATGAGTTTAAGTTGCCACTCTTCTTTAGTCAGGGCCTCGCTCGTTTTCAGTTTGGGGGCTAACAAAACACGGGCCGCAGTAGTGGCATACATATATGACCTTTTTTGACACCTGGGAATTTCCGTCTGAGTTATCCCCAACAAAAAGGACTCTGGTTTTGGGGGGAAAGTACTTTAAAATTTTCAATTCATTATGGATTATTTCCCAATACTCTTTTACCCTTTTACAGGGCCACCACATATGAAAGAATGTTCCCTCAACCTCACTGCACCAGGCCTGAGGTCTTCTATCCTAAGCTAGAATGTTTCTAGAGTTTCCTTAATTTTATGTGACATTTTGTCATTTGCTTTGCTTTATCCATTTCTTGCTACCTTGTTACTAGAGACAGTGCTGCTTAAGATTATTTAAAAGCCTCTACCACAGGTTTCTGCCTGGTCTCTCCGACCTTTGAATTCTAAATGAGCTCACTGCTCACTTCCTACTGCTTTATTTTTTACTAAAGAAAACATTTATGCCTGCTCAACTAAATGACATGGACTTGCAAGCAATGGGCTTCAGTTGTGTGACTCACAATTACCTGCTGTTTTCTTGCATTTTTTCTTTGCCTGAGTGGCTGAGGTGGAAAGAGAGCAGGATGAAAAGAGAGATGGGATTTGCATCGTGTTATTTTTACTTCCAGGTTTTGAAAAATGTATAAATGGGCCGTATTAAATATGCATGCTCTTGTATGGAATTGCATGAAGTCTGAAGGAACTGCTCCACATTTGGAGAGAGTGAAGGCTCTCCTCAGACGACCTTCTATGAGCAGATATTTCCATAAGGCAGGGGATGACTAGGGCAACTTGAGCAGTGATGGTTTTGTCTTGTTTTTCCTACCACAGAAATTTGTGAGACAGAAACTATTGTGAGAATATGAATGGGAGAAATTGGCATTAGCAAAGACTCCTCTTATTTTGAATTGTTTAAGGTGGCCTGTACAAAATAAGAAGCACAATAAAAGTTCCAACTACACAGATTCTTCATGTTTTATAAATATTGATTTTCAAAATGCTCTCACTTGTCTGGAAACAATGTAAAATTGCTTAATATTTAATTCAGAGTGTTAAAAATAAAGTTTGCACAGACATGAGGCAGAATCTAAAGAATCAGTGAGCCATGACCCATGGGTGCTATATGATGTGAACTTCCTGGTCCTCCAAAATTAAACCCGGCTACATTTCTCCATAAGCAAATTCCTAACAATGCAACAGACCAGGCTCTCCTAATTGCCAGAACACTGCATTCTATGAGGAATTAGGTTAATAAGGGAGAAACGAGGCTCAGTTATTTCAGTATTCAAATGTGATAAGCTGTTGATACAGCACAATCAATCTGTTACAGAGCAGAGTACTATATAAAAAAATAGTAACAAAGTTCAATCAACGAAGAGTAAGATACTTTTTTCAAAAGCATTAGGTAGGATGGGTAACATAGCCTCATATTGAGACAGAGAAAAGCACCATGAAGCAACTGGAGAGGATCCAAAAATGCTTAATTTTAAATTCAGACTTTTCAAAATAAAGTTTACAGTGGATATGTACCACGATTCAAAGAACCTGTTGAGAAATGCCAGATTGAAGCATGTGCAGGTTCAACGAAATCTCTTTTTCTTTATTTGAACAGAAGACTTCCCATATTACATCACTATCAGCTTTGGAAACTCCCAAAAATTTCGAAAGCAATATCTTGTATGATGGGAAGAGCTGCTCTCTGTGGGAAATGCGTGCCCTAAAATTAACTTCGGTGTACAGACTCAATCATGTGGATGCTATCCTCTTTCTTCTAAAATCACAATAATATGATTCCAAGAAATGCAAGCAGTCCAGGGTGACTGCTATTACACAACATGATTTTTAAGAACTGACACAGCTGTTAGAAAATAATAATACTGTAATGCTCTAATCAATGAGGTGGGCTGCTGGCAGGAAAGAAACCAGTGAGCTCAGGGTGTAACTCCCTGGTTTATGCATTCAGACATCACCCAGTTTCAGGTGATTCACCAGCACTGGAGATATAAAGTATGGGTTTGATTATTATTTTTTAAATGCAACACTGTCTATTAACAAAGCCAGGCTCCGAGCTTTCAGAGGGAATTGCAGTAATCTTATTTCATTATTGTAGTACTACACAATAGAGCTAAACTTGAAACCATTCTTAAGTACAGGTATTGTTAAGCATTTTATTATAGTAATCCAATCCCACTGTCATTTCATGTAGTCTAATCTATTTCACCCCCCCTGCCAAGAAATGAAAAAGGTCTTACAATTATTACAGGGTTTTTGGTACTACAGAATCTATGGGATGAATGTCTGTATTTGGTTGCCTTATGAATAAATTTGAACTTCAGTGCCACCAAAAGGAGACATTCCACGTACAGAGCGTTTGTTCTCTCTTTCTTTTAAAGTGTGATCTGGGCAGGTAATCTTGGCATTTTAAACGGGTTAATAGTTCACTTTAGCTCAATTCCCAATTCAACTTGGAGCAAGGAAAGTAGATTTATGCTCTCATTTGCAGCATGGCAATACAGGACACAGGGGTGAAGGATTTAAACTTCTCTGGCTCTTGCAATTTAAAAGACAGATACAGTGGTACCTCGGGTTACATACGCTTCAGGTTACAGACGCCGCTAACCCAGAAATTGTACCTCAGATTAAGAACTTTGCTTCAGGATGAGAACAAAAATCGTGCAGCGGCGGTGTGGGAGGCCCCATTAGCTGAAGTGGTGCTTCAGGTTAAGAACAGTTTCAGGTTAAGAACGGACCCCCAGAATAAATTAAGTTCTTAACCTGAGGTACCACTGTAAAGGGGGAGGGGAAGAGTCCTACTGCTAAAATATAGGCTTGGAATCTGGCAAGAGAAGCTGCCAGGCCACATTTGGAACAAAACATCTCTCTGGCTACGGATCTGACCACTTCCTTCCCTTTCTGCCCTAAAATGAACAGGCCTAATATCAAGCAAACTGAGCTGCTCCTATAAACCTCTCAATATCCCTGTGTGGGTAGGGGAAAAAGTAGCCCAACATTTGGACTACCCAGTTCTACCCTGAATCAAGGAAAATGATTACTGAAGGCAAACTTTGAGGTGAAACTGAGGCTGTCAATAAACCAATGTTTTCAACCCTGCCTTTTGTACTGGATGGGTATGCAGGAATCTTTTTGCCCAATGTGGGGCTTGAACCCACGACGCCAGGATTAAGAATCTCATACTCTACCAACATTATTTGTTACGTATTTAAAATCTATTTTTTAAAAAGTGTAAGAGTGCTTTTTAAAGCTAATCCCTCACAACGTGCTTTCATTTCATACACACAAAATATAAAATCACAGCATTTGATGAAAACTTCTGGTTGGGTATAAACTCTTCTGCAAAAAGTGGATTTTTGGCAGGGGGGCGGTTAGGGAGGATAGGTGGCTGTATGGAGAAAGAGGAATTGCCAGATATTGCCTTCTCTGCTTTTGCTCTTGGGAGCATTTAGTTCAGAGACGTCTGCTCTGAGCAAATTTGGATCTAACTCAATGTTCCACAAGGTGTCTGAGAAATATTATCCCCTTCCTGACCAGCTGACATGGAGGGGGACAGCATCTTAAGCTGCTTTTCTTCCTTTTAAATTGACCTCATGTTTACACTTTCTAAACAGATGAACATTTGTTTCATTTCTGCGTGAACCAAGCATAGTAGCACTAGTAATTTGGAACCATGTTCCTATTGCAATCAGACAAGCATCTACAATCCTGATAGTTTGTTGCCTGCTTAAAACATTTTCGTTTTCCTCAATAGAGAATGAATTTTATTCAGTGTTGGTCACTTGTTGTGCATTTTATGGTTTTACAATGATTTAATTATGATATTTTATGATATTTAATTATGATATTTCATGATATTTATTATGAACTGGTGGTCTATAAATATTCTTAAAAAGGAAAAGGAAAATGTGGTCAGTGACTGATTATCTCCTGTTGCAGAAGCAGAAATGTCATTTAGCTACTTTCGTAAGTACCTTGGAACATTATGTAATAGAAAACTATTGTGCTGTTGATAAGATGCCCAAGGGAATCCTATGTAATAAACCCATTGTGGTGAAAGGCTATACAAGCTTTGGAGATTTCCAGTCACAAGTCCTTGGCTTCCAAGCCATATTTACTACTTTCCTTTTCAGAACCTTGGGGGGCTTGCTTTTGAAGCAATTACTTTTATTTCCTAATGAGACTATAGTGTTGTAATGCTATAAGCCAAAATAAAACTATTTATAGATCTGAGAAAATGACAGAGTAGTTAAAATACTGAGTATGACTTCCTCAGCATGGAAGAAGAGTATAGTTCAGATGGAAGAAAAGTATAGTTCAGGCTACATAAATTCAGGGTTTGGAAGGACAGTTCCTATATACTTCTTGAGCTAAAAATTACTCCTCAGAAACAAATGTCATAACTGTAGTCTTTTGATACTTCTTTTCCACAAGATGAATGGTAAAATTTTAGGAAAGTTTCAGAAAAGAATATATTTAGTATCTTATTTCAGTAAATATTTCATGTAAGTAATTCCATGGCAGCCTTGCAAAATAACCCAACAAAAGATACTGTAGAGTTTGCACATATATTTCCTAACCTGCACATGTTCGTAGTCTGATGGAAGCCTATTTTCTTCATGAATGGGAAACCTGATCACACAGGGCACACAGTCTGCTTTCCTTTGTTGATGTCCCTTACAAAGTTTGGGGGTACGACCTGTGAGGGACCTATGGATTAGGCTAGCAGTTGGCTCCACCTTCCCCATTGACACAATTGCAATAACATCAAGGGGACTACCTGAAAGGGGCTAATCAATAATATTCTTATTCAAAGAGAACTGGTCCTATATTGTATTTATTCATGTATTATATGTATTCATTTTGTCTCTCACGCAGTGCACAGAATCTGATAAGAACATAATAATAATAAAAAATATAATAATACACCCATCCACTTATATGGAACTATTTAAAAGAACTTTGTTATAAGAGTAGGATATAGCTATTTTTTAAAGAAGTTTCTTTTTACATGCCCATTTAAAAATAGAAAAATGAACACCAAGATTGTAACAATTATTTTTGCAAAATATGAGCATGCCTCTTTTGAAACAGAGAAACGAATACTATAAAGGCACAAAATCAGAAGAAATTCATGTGACTATACATACCAAGGAATATTAGAAGCACGCCTACTATGATCTGAAGTGAGAGCGAGATGCCGATGAGGACAACAAGTGGAACGTAGGCTGAAAAGGTAGGTCCTTGGTCCACAACTGCTTTGAGCTGGGATGCATTCGCCATAAGCAAAGCAATGTCCAACATACTTTCTGCCGCACTCTTCTTATTGGCATAATGGTTGATGTTAATTTGTCTGTTTCTCTGCAGCCATTGTGTTCGAGGCTGAAAGGCACAACATTTCAAAGAGTCATGATTCAGGCAGCATTAGAAGCATGGTCAGAGTGTGATAATACCCTGCTTCCTATCAGCTACAGCTGTATTTAAAAGCACCGTACATTGTATGGGAAGCAGGTTGCACAGAATACAACTGCTTTGAGCAGTGCTGAGATGGGAAACCCCATAAAAGCCCATCTGTGTTCTCTGGCAGGACAGTGTGACATAAATACAGAACACCAACTGGTCATGGTCGTTTCATGGTTGAAAGCAGCTCTCCTTCACCGTTTGAAAAGTTATGTTCTAGGAAAAAGTGAGTAAGATGGATATTCGTGTAAAGTCCTGGTTAAACTGTAAGAAGTAAGAGCTTCAGAACTACTTGGAGAAAGTTGCACTGTTTGACAAAGATAAGTTTTATACTCTGCTGCCTGTAGCTATTTTTTAAATCACCAAACATGCCCCATCACAATAGCAGAATGAAGTTTATTACCACAATTTGGTTTACACTAACAAGTTTAGTTAGGGTTGCCATATTCCAAACAGTGAAAATCTGGACAGAAAAGTTGTGGTGCTTTCTTTTCTTTTTTTCCAAAGTTGTCAAGCTTTTCTGGCAAAATTGCAAAAAACTTGCCTTTTTTGGCAATTTTAATGGGCTGCCATGTGGCCGGCTTTTCCTGGACATTTTTGCCGATTTCAACCCAGACAGTATTCCAAATAGGATGTATGGCAATCCTATTAGTGTTGAGATTTGTCCTTTGATGAAATCTTCCGTAAGTTACACATTTCATCAGACCTTAGGTTTCTAAAGAGTCACACATTGCGCCACGGATGCCCTCAGCCTGCCAGCCAATCTGTGGTGAGCCCAACCACCCCCACATACATACAAAGTGGTTTCACTTTTGCCTTTGTCGGCTCGTCCCATCCCAGCTGCCAAGACAGATGGCCCTTCCTTCGCTGTCCCCTCACTTTGCCTATTCCAAAGGGAAAAGTGTCCCCTCCACATCTGTGTTGGGCTGCAGCACCAGCCCTTCCCTCTCTCATGTGCTTCTGTGCCCCAGCATCTACGACACCTTGCTGCTTCCTATAACTAGTCGTGTCAGCATCCTTTCCCTACCCCAATGTCTTGACATTTGTTTGGAAGAAACTGTAGTTTGGGTCTGTTCTAATATTTATGGTATATTAATTCCTGGCACAGGGTGGAATTAAAATCAGGTTGAATGAGAGACTTCCTATCAAATGACAATGGCTGATCAGAAGCTTCGGCTCACAAATCATTGCTCCTCGACCCCTGTTGAATATCTGAATATCAAAGGATATTGTGGGCCTCACCAACACATCAGCAACCTGCTTGAGGCAAATGCTGTTTCCCTCACGGTAGCATGGAAGGTGCTCATGGGAAATGGAACATTGACCTGTCCATCATGAGCCGGTAAATTTCAGTTTACCAAGCAAAAAGTTAACAAGGTGTGCAATTAAGCATCCAGTAAGCTTGTTAATTGTGTCACCACAGATCATGTATTTGCAGTAAAATGTAGATGGAGATTTTTCCTAACAGCATAAATCAGTTTGATGGGGGGTTTTTTTCTGCTGACTTCCAACATGCCCTTCTCCTTTCTTGTCACTTTTATTTGAGCTCTAAATTGGGGGTTAGGAACTCTCCTTGAGAAGCGTGACACTTCAGTATTGCTGCAATGCAATGCAATGTGCAGTGAGGGGGGTTTTTGTGTGTGTGTTTTTGGAACTTTCCCAGTATGACTCAAGCTTTTCAGTTTACAAGAACATACTTTCTTGCAGAAAGAAGTTATATGACTAGTTACAAAACATAAAAGAAGTCAGTGTTTCACACTAATGGAAAAAGAGATAATTTAATGGGGTAAATTTGCCCTCATTTCAGAGTATCTTCCTATATACATAAAAATGTATGATTGTCATCACACTAGCACTCTTGTGCACATGCGTAGCTGGCCAAAGAGGGCCCAACTTTGGCATTTGTGTGTGAAAGGAGAGGGACCATGGGAACCAAGTTGTCCTGAGGGAAGCCTATCTGCTGCCAGTGGATCTTTTTGCCATTAAACCAGGGTCAATTCCACAGGGACCTCCATGAATGAGCACAGCAACATCCTACACATTCTTAAAGGCATGCACAGATAGTGCATCTTTCCCTGGGCAGGCAGAGGCTTCACCTGCTTCCTGTGCCCCACCCAACCCTATGGACCACATGCATTTAGTCTAAGGAAGAACAGGGCTGCCAGGAAAACAGGAGTAGTATATATGGTAGGAGAAGGAGTACACATGTACCTCCCCTGACCCATGGGAGCCACTGGGTGGCTCTCTGGTCGTTACAGCTCTCTTTTTTGCATTTCTTCCTGGCCAACACACCTCCTGATGGGTGGAATGGAATAGGATGGGGTAAGACAGGGCTAGGAGAGGAGACAGGAAATGATTAGAAGCAGTTATAAGAGCAGGACGCAAAAGCTGCATTGACTCTGCAGAAAGGAGGCATGGGAGAGCTAAATGCCAAAGGCACAGAGCTGGGGTGGTGAACTTTGTGGGCGTCTCTGAAGCAGAGACTGCTGGGAACAGGATGCTGTGCCATGTGAACCTCTGGTCCTACTCCAGCAAGGAAGTTCTGAGTTGTGGGGGAAGTGGAACTTCAATGTGCAATATTTTGGCAAGCATTTCCCAACATTTACTTAATAAACAGGTTTCTGACCTTTTTGCAGAATATACACACTTGGGCAGACCTTCCCTGCAATCAAAATATCTAAGGCTAAGAGGGGACCCCAATATCCGGACCCTGAAAACTTTCATATATATTTCCAAGATACACATATGTGCAGCATGTACAGTACTTTCATCCTACTGTCATCTGGTAAACACTGGCCCTGGATCAGCAAAATCTCATTAAACATTTCAAGTCTATGAAGAACTTGTGGGGGAAAGAATATTGTTTTATGGTTGAGTTTTAGGAGCTGGACAACATCAGATGTTATCTTGTTTCATAGGAACAGGATGCAGAAATTCTCTTGTTCCATTATTGACTCTGGTGAAACAGATTTTGCAGAGTTTTGAAGCATTACAGAAACATTAAAATCTGTGAACAGACAGCAGTGGATGAGGGTGACACAACACAGAAGACAACAAAGCTTCTATGACGCCATCTGGAAAATAAATATATTGTCTTTCCCCAGCCATTAGCATTCCACTTCATTTTTGCTTTCTTGCCTCACTAAAGAGGTACAAGTCTTCTTGTTAATATAAACCATGGGTAGGCAAACTAAGGCCTGGGGGCCGGATCTGGCCCAATCACCTTCTCAATCCGGCCCGCGGACGGTCTGGGAATCAGTGTGTTTTTACATGAGTAGAATGTGCCCTTTTATTTAAAATGCATCTCTGGGTTATTTGTGGGGCATAGGAATTTGTTCTTATTCCCCCCCCCAAAAAATATAGTCGCCCCCCCCAAGGTCTGAGGGACAGTGGACCGGCCCCCTGCTGAAAAAGTTTGCTGACCCCTGATATAAACTAAATGCATGTGTTTCCCCACCACCCTGCTACTGCCCCATCCTGCCCTCCACCCCAGTTATTAGAACTTTTTTTCAAGTTACATTGGTTTTTGTATAAATACACCCACTTTTTATTCCCCTAATTTTGAATACCATCTTTTTGCACATCTGTGCAAATGTGGGATGGTGTAGGGGGGGGCATACTCCTTGTTAAAGTGAGGTCAGGGGTCTTGATTTGTTAGTATATTTATACATTGTCCAAGCAGCTCAAGACAGCATACACCATCCACTTTATCCAGATAACAGTCTGTGAGATGGCTTAGGCCAGCTGAGGTCACCCATTAAGCTACATGGCAAAGTAGGTCTCATTTGAATTTGGGTCTCCCTAGTCTAACTCTCTAACCACTGCACCACACTGACTTCCCCCCCCTGCCCCCTCTGGGCCCATGAACACAATCTGCCCTGCATTTTTTAGAGATTTGTAAATGACCCTTCATAGTATTTATCCAGGTTTCTATCAGGAATATACATTTCTGACATCTTTTTGGGATAAACAAGTGCATACATGAAGAAAAAACACAAATATTAACTGTTGGACAAGAAGTGAAATAAAATTAAATGCCGCAAAACAAGTCCAGCACTGAGATACGTTTTTCTTTTTTTTAAGGAAGTGAGGCAGAGCTGGGCATCTCCCTCTGCCTAATTCCTGGAACAGGAAAATGTTCTCATTTCTGATTGCTTGCATCAAAACTGCTGAAACAGCGGGCTAGTAGGGGGAAAGAACTGAGACTTTTGTTTGAGGGAGATATTACAGGGAGGAGGGAGAGAACATGCCAGTCGGGCATGTGTCTCTGCCAAGGTCCTACTCGAGTGTAGGAAGAGGTGCCTCCCTGCAGCTGCTCCAATGCAGCAGCCCATTTCAACCTGAAAGAAAATCATTTCCCACTCCTTATTTTGGGGCTGTATGTTGGTCTTCACAATTATAAGCCTATGATTAGCAAACATACATTTTAATACTAACTGCTTTTCTGGTGGATTAGACATCTTGTTTACTTATAATGTTTTTGGAACCATGAGATGTACAGAATTATTTTATCAGTTTTGAAACTGTGATCTGTGTTGTTTGGCTCTTCCTTGTTCTCTTTTTAACTTGCTTTTTCTTCTAGAAAAAGCTTTACATCTGTTAAGCACTTAAAAGTGGTGTTTTAATCTTGGCATGTGGGTGGGTATTGTTCTGGTTAGCATCATGCGTTCTGTTCCCATCAAGCATATGTTTTCTTACTATCATGCTCATCTGCTTCTTATTCACTTTCCCAACTTTGAGCATTTAAGAGCTAAGGCAGGGCTATATTAATGGGATGTGACATGGCTCCTCAAGGTAGCATGGCTCTATGTATGCATTGTGTAATATTGGTCATCTATAAGTTAAGCCCTGGCTTAAACAGAATCAAGACCTGAACTGCTTTTAAGATATCCAGTTAAACTCTAGCTATGTGTTTCTTTACC